CACACTTGTTAATTTTAAAAGGGCAGATAGGATTTTGTGAAGATATGGATTAAAAAAGAGGTACGGATGGGAATATATAATGAATGTCAGAATATATATTTAGGTGAAGTTAAGTGAAGGAATGGAATAGATGTGACCTGACGCGGTCAGGTGTAAGTGATGAGGGTACGTAATTAGTGTCCTAATCAGGTCATGTGTTAGTGAGGAAGGCGTGTAATATGTGTCTGAACAGGTGTTAATTTGTGACAATGTGTAATATTATGTGACTGAGCCAAGTCTTGTATTGATGCCGTGTACGTACCTGTTCTACCTCTTTAGCGGCCTTGATCAGATCCTCGGAAGGGTGTCTTGGTGCTAGGGCGCCATTGATCAGATCCTCGGAAGGATGTCTTGGTGCTAGGACGGTTTTGGGCACGGCCCATGACTCTGTGGATATACATGTTAGACTTTTATCATATTTATAATTTTCAACAGATAAAAGAGACTTCGACTCATGGTTGAAATAGCTGAAAAAGACCCATATATTTTAAAACGTAGTATTTACATTTTGCAGTTTAATGTATATGGGGGAATGACTACATTTTGAAAAGTAAATATACTAATTGAACGGTTTTGTTTATGTCGTGACTTGCATGCCATGAAGCAGGTATAACTGAAGATGCAGTAAATATCCCTTTCAGATTATGTGTTAACGTTAACAAGATTCTGGTTATCGTCAGTGTATTTTTTATTAGACATTTAATCTGAGAGCTACATTTATAAAAGCCTCGTCAATAAAACAATATTGACATAGCAGCAATCTCACGAGACTTAAGTATCCAGAGTATGCAAACATCGTTTAGAAGCCGAGAGGCATTTGTCACATAGTTAAGAATGAAAAGCTGTAATAACCAAAAATCACAACTTGATTTGTAGTTGCAGTAATGATTTTGATTACATTAATAGGTCAACGATAGCCTATATAGAAAGATGTAACACACAAACGGGACCCAGTGAAGTCAAGTTCTATTCTTAGGTTTCAAGAAAGGGGTGAGTAACAATTACATATGTCTATACAAAATAATAATATTTGGTCTAAACCCAATTAATCGAAATATCATTTCCTGCAATCTCAGTGGCGATCATCTTCCTAACGAATGGCAACTAAAGCTTTCAGTGTTTGAAGCTATATCAGAACCGGTTATGAAACTCAGTAAGGTTATATGGGGAATTATATGAGGAAAATGCAAGAAAAGAAAGAGTAACGACAAGATTATTTTTTTCGATTATTTCAGAAAAGAAATTCGTCAAAGGAACCTGACAAGAATGAAAAGGTTAATGGGTTAATGTGTGTTTGAATAATTAAGATGATAATGTACCAAATACTTTCGTTCAAGAAATAAAAAACCAGCTATCAGATAGTGAAGTTCTTAAAGCTATCAATATTTCAACCGCAATTTTATTTGAAAGAAAAATAATATAGCCATGAACTATAATTATTGTTATATTGTTATAATAACGTATCTTTATATCATGGGATGACTATCAAAAAATTGTTTTTATCTCATAATGTACTGTTATCTATTGAATATAACCATGCCAGATTTTTTGGCATATTAACCCATGTAATATGACCTATCAGCCCTGTGATTGGTTAAAGTTTCAACTGTTTCAATTGTGATGTCACGCCTAGAACAAGTGCATCACATCACAGACTTACGCAATGGAGTCAAAATGGCGGCTTTTTACATTTCAAGGTTGCATGAAAATTGTCGTTTTACACGAATAAATGCCACAAATCTTGAGTATGTAGTAAAAAGGATCTTACACTCGTTTTCATTTCATATGGAATTTATGAAAACCGTCACGAATTTTTCATTTTAGCTCGCCAGAGGCTCGCTAAATGGAAAGATTCTTAGACTCGTTTCATAAATCTCATATAAAATGGAAACTCAAGTAAGATCATATATATATTTCATGTATATTGTCTGTCATTATCTACTGATCAATGAGTATCTTATTAAAGATGAAAAGTTGTTTTGTCATGTCCTCTTGTATTGTTAAATATGCTATATCATATATCAAGGTCGGCAGGTGATATTATTCACGATTTTAAGAAAGGACAGTACAAATAATTAGTTAAAAGTTAAAAAAGTGTGCATAGTGAACATGCAAAGTAAATTTATAATTAAGATTATCACTTACCAGCTACAAGCGAGAGACAAATGAGGAGAAGTCCGTTCATCCTTACGTTCAACAGCCGATGTTGCTACCTGTGTGCAGTCCCGTTCGGCGAGCTTTCCTTTTATCCTACCTGGTCAAGCTGGTCAAGTGACCCTTATACCTGGACAGGTCATCCAGCATCTGTAATTTCCCACGTACCCCCACACGTCGAGAGGTGTACAGCTGCCGAACCTCCCCTTCACCTGACACGATTTGTACCAATCATTAAGGAACCCTCCACTTATTTTTATGTTAAGTACAGTGTTTCAGGCGTTTTCTTTGGTTTGTCCTCTTTGGGAGATGGACATCTGTTATAAGTCCAGAATCAGCAATATAAATAAATAAAGGTACTGAGTGTCAATAGTTCAACAAATTTTAATTTATTTTGATTTACTGTTTTTTTCTGACAAATAATGAACCAAACCATTGGTATGGTACATGCAACTGGACAACACGTGTCTTTAATAAAAAAAAATCTAAGAAAACTGTGATTGAAATTAAAGCCAAGGAATGGTGCTTTTGACGTTTCCTTCGATTCCTATCCCAATTTTCCATCCAACAGTATTTAGATAACATTTCAAGAGGCAAAGCTCTCTGTAGACATTGTTAAAGTCGACATACAGTTAATAGTATAAGTTCATTACCACGATTATTTCTTATGGACTCTTTACCTTCAGTGGTATTTGAATTAATGTAATAAAAAACATTCTACATGATAAATTAAGTTAACTAATTTGATACGTAAAACATGTATGCCTCGTGTCCTGTCAAGGTCTCAACATGAAATTCTACGACACCAAATCGCCCAGCCGAGAACCAGCGACGATAGCTGTAACTGCACCACGATCGCCTTAAACAGGAAGTTAGGATATAGTTACAAATTGATGATCAGAGATCAAGGCACTCATGATCCGAGATCAAGGTTATGATATCATCAATAGACGATTTGTCACCATGATCATGTCGAGGGTACATTGTTGTACATGTGTAAGGCTTTTGAACATCCCAACATTTTCAGTGGATGGGGTTATGGTTGAAATCCACAAACAAGCCGGCGACTTGGACCAACAGAACTCAGTCACCTCCGAAAACAAGAGATCACATAGAGATATTTGGTCCCACAATTGTAAGTACTTCATTTGTTCTAAGTAAGTTCTTTGTTTCATATTCTTTAGAACTATAGACGTAATCTAGTCAGTTCAGCCTAAAAATGTCCAGACCTCGATATAATTGCAGCCTACAATAATTGATTTCTGTATTTCAACTGAAAAACATATTACAATTAAGGAAAAGTAATTTTCATCGTTTTAAGGACAAAGAAAATAATGAATATATTGCATTTAAACAATCCCTAAGAGTTATATGTAACTCTCATTTGTAACAAACAAACAAAACATATAAAAAATCAATACATAAACAAAGTTAAGCCTTAATTGAAAGATAAATCAACTTATGATTAATTGATTTTTACGGTTAGGTCAAAATTACATGACCAGACGAGTTCATCATACCACAACTAAACCTTCACTTCCTTTAAGTGTTGCACACAAAGAAAATGATATTAGGATCTTTGAAGTCTTGCTTGTGTTAATTTTGATATGCAAGTTGCAGAAATCGACATATCAAGAAATTTGGCTAAAACAGCTCAAATCAGCCCTGATGTTGATCATTGTTTAGACAGATCAAGTATTCACGGCAATATTGCTTCTAAGATTAAATAGTAATATTTTTTCTGTCTTTAAAAATACACCAATAGCTTTTTTAAAGAATGTATTTTCATCTCTAAAATCCCACTATACGGAAGAATGAGATACTACACTTAAAAGTAAGTCAAATATAGGATTTTCATTACTTCCCAAAGAGGGTGAAAGCATTTTCCCAAAGGCGGATTTCTTAATGATTTTCTGTCATAATACAATTATTCATATGTAAGAGTTATATCAAAGTCAATACTAAATTTATTGGACTATTATCTAAAGTAGGTTGAGGTTATTCGCAAACTTTGATGAGCTCTATCCCAGGAAGTCACCAGCCAAATATTATAAATATATGCCTTTTAATTCTTCATCATAAGTCGTTAAACCGTTTGACATATTTGAACGCTGTGACCTTGAAAGTAAGTCAAGGTCATTTTCATATGCAAACTTTGTTTGGCTCTTTCCTAGGAAATAACCAGCCAAATATTAAGGTTTTATATCTTCCAGTTCTTCAGAAGAAGTTGTTCTAAGCGTTAGACATATCTGACTCATGTGACCTTGAAAGTTGGTCAAGGTCATTTTCATTCTCAAACTTTGTTGGGCTCTTTCCTAGGAAGCTTCCAGCCAAATATTAAGGTTCTATACCTTCCAGTTCTTCCGAAGAAGTTGTTTGAACTGTTTGACATATCTGCCTCATGTGATCTTAAAAGTGGGTCAAGGTCATTTTCATTCTCAAACTTTGTTGGGCTCTTTCCCAGGAAGTCACCAGCCAAATATTTAGGTTCTATAACTTTCAGTTCTTCAGAAGAAGTCGTTTTAAGCATTAGACATATCTGACTCCTGTGACCTTGAAAGTAAGTCAAGGTCATTTTCGTTTTCAAACTTTGTCGGGCTCTATCCCAGGAAGCCACCTGCCAAATATAAAGATCCTATACCTTTCGGTTCTCAGAAGAAGTCGTTCGGCTTATTCCATGGAAGCTACGTACCAATTGTCATTTCTCTAAACCATTCGGTATTTTAGAAGTAGTTGTTTGAAGGTTTTTACATATTTGACCCCTGTGACCTTGAAAGTAGGTCAAGGTCATTCATATGAACAAACTTGGTACTCCTTTATCCCAGCATGCTATTAGCCATATATCTTCACCCTATGTCTGTTCGTTATTGAGAAAAAAATGGTTTAAAGATTTTAACACATTTGACCCCTGTGACCTTGAAAGTCGGTCAAGGTCATTTTTATTTGCAAACTTTGTTTGGCTAATTCCAAGGAAGCCACTAGTTAAATACAATGTCACTAGGCATTTCAGTATTTCAGAAGAAGTCGTTTGAAGGTTTTGAGATATTTGACCTCTATGACCTTTAAAGTAGGTCAAGGTCATTTTTATTCGCATACTCTTTTTGGCTTTTACCAAGGAAGCTACCAGGTAATTCTCATATCTCTAGGCTTTTACGTGTACCCACGGCCAGTATAAATATTACAAGGAAAGGTCAATACGACCGGTCTCTGTACGTGTACCCACGGCCAGTATAAATATTACAAGGAAACGTCAATACGACCGGTCTCTGTACGTGTACCCGCGGCCAGTATAAATATTACAAGGAAAGGTCAATACGACCGGTCTCTGTACGTTTACCCGCGGCCAATATAAATATTACAAAGAAAGGTCAATACGACCAGTCTCTGTACGTGTACCCACGGCCAGTATAAATATTACAAGGAAAGGTCAATACGACCGGTCTCTGTACGTGTACCCACGGCCAGTATAAATATTACAAGGAAACGTCAATACGACCGGTCTCTGTACGTGTACCCGCGGCCAGTATAAATATTACAAGGAAAGGTCAATACGACCGGTCTCTGTACGTGTACCCACGGCCAGTATAAATATTACAAGGAAAGGTCAATACGACCAGTCTCTGTACGTGTACCCACGGCCAGTATAAATATTACAAGGAAAGGTCAATACGACCGGTCTCTGTACGTGTACCCACGGCCAGTATAAATATTACAAGGAAAGGTCAATACTACCGGTCTCTGTACGTGTACCCACGGCCAGTATAAATATTACAAAGAAAGGTCAATACGACAGGTCTCTGTACGTGTACCCACGGCCAGTATAAATATTACAAGGAAAGGTCAATACTGCCGGTCTCTGTACGTGTACCCACAGCCAGTATAAATATTACAAGGAAAGGTCAATACGACAAGTCTCTTGTGTCTGATTATACTTATCCTTTTTATTTCATTCATTAACATTGTTTATTACACTAAAGACCTGAACTAACTGCAATTTACTAAGCTTTCGATGAGAACATTTCCTAATACAATTTTGACAGGTCCATTGGAGTAAAAAAATAGATTTTGTCTTCAATTACGGCAATATTGGCACAAGTAAACATTCTGTTAGGTCTCGAATGTTATCACGTTGACCTTTCTCTGTGTCAAGATAGATATGACTAAACACTTTATACGCTACATCAACAGGCTTGCATAAATCATGTTGTACACATACATTATCTATAATGTATATCAACACACCATGCGCTACTTGACTTATTCTATATCACATTTGTTTTTATTGTATAAATACATCGATATAACTATGTTCTATTGTTTTATATGTACAATTTTCCATCCTATTTCTATACCATCAAAACGCTAAGTATTTCAACATTTTAATTTCAACTAATACTTTATTACCTTCAGTTTTATTGTAATATATGAAAAAAAAAACCTTCTAATTTAAACTACGTCCACAAAATACACAAATCATCTCAGGACTACACTTTTCTTTACTCTTAGTAGCTTAATTCTAGCTTAATTATTACAAAAGTTAATGTGAACCTTTTCTATGTCCGGAGCTTAATGATGGTCTCGTATCGCACTTGCGTATCCTAAACACTGTCGATATATATGTCAGATACCGAACAATGTCTTAATACAAAACTTACTTCCTGATCAACAACATGCTTTAATGTGTTTTTTTTTTATATATATTTTTCTGTTATGATTTGATAACAGTCAAAGGAAGTTAAGCTCGTCAGTCACTTGTATATCTACATTATTACAGTGTATATATCTACATTATTACAGTGTATATATCTACATTATTACAGTGTATATATCCACATTTCGTTGAATCGCAATATTACCCCATTTCGTATAATCATTATTTTAGTTTCTTTTTCTGCATCAAGTTTTAACGTTCAAGTCCGTCAAATCTGACATACCACCGTGTTTTATATACAAAAGTAAAATTATTATCAAAATAAATGGTTTGATCAAATAATCCTACTGTCATCTGACACATCGTGATGCATGGGAATTAACACATATATTAACATACACTTGTATATCGAATTGGAGGACTTAATACAGATAATGAGGTAAATGC